TGCGAAACAATCACCATCTAATTATTCAGTATTCTATCCAAAAATTTCTTATTTTCTTCGATTTATCTCATTCAGTCCATTTTGCCAAGGGAGAAAGTTTAGTTTTTCCATAAAATCAGTTTAATTCCAAATCAAACAGACTACAACCAATTGATATAGTTCGCAAAATAATGTCACGTCGGCCCATACATCAAAGTTGTTCGTGTACCAACTTGACCGTACAAAACACACTCAAAGAGACTTTCTGAGTAAGTATGAACTGAAGCACATATTGAACGAAAAGCAAATTTCGAATTAAAAATGATACACGAAGCGCATCCAAACTGTGTTCAAAAGTCTAAGGAATGTAACTATGTTGTGAAATTTGATTTTCTTTGCATTTTGCTTTGACTACTCGTAGGTCCACATTGAGTCAGCATTGAACATTGCAGAAATGAGCCAACAATATAGTTGGGTGAAGCCGATTCAAAATCGCTTTCAGTTTTGTTCCCACAAAGGAGGAATGAAAATGTATAGTGACACTGGTGAAACCATTGAGCCAGGCGATGCGACAATGATTTTTTCTGATGGCACATTGCAATTCGTCGATAATATGGAAACAGTTATTGTGTGTGCCACGAAACAAAGCAAAGCAGTTGTATTGGTCGAATTCCGCGACAAAATCGTAGCAGCTTTCATGTTGAGCAGTGATCGAGGTATGTTGGTTAAACACCTAAATGAACGTGGAGGCTATATCCCGATCGGATACAAGAACACAGCTATTGCACTGTTGGTGTTGCCGGGTGATCAACCGTTCATTGGTCAAATTCGCGTTAAGTCTATGGGCGAGGGCGAAAACGACCAAACGGGCCAAATTCGCATCGGTGACATGCACAACCCACGAATTTACGTTCCTGAAACCATGATGGTTATGTATCAACATTTGAGAAATGAGGAGAAGACTGGCAAACGTCCTGTAAATAAATACACGTTTGCCCAACACGAACTTTCATTGCAGACAAACAAATATCCAATGAAAAACATTGGCAAACTGGGACGCATTTTCAGTGAACAAGAAGCCATGAAATGGCTGGAAAAAGCAACGAATTTTACCCCCATCGAAAAGTCGTTGCAAGCCGAATTTGTGTTAGGCGGAAAAAATGTGTGCGCGATTTTTTATCCGAAGCAACAGTGCGAATATGTTCAAGCCATGTGCAAAAGCCTGGGTTTTTCCGAAAAACCACAGTTTGATGAAAATGAAACATTCGAACTATCATCAAGTTCAGCAACCGATGGTGAAACTATCGAAACAAATTCAGAAGATGGCTCTGATGAAAGTAAAACCGTTCAAGGCATTGAACCAAAGTCTCATTTGGCATCATTCGGTGTTGTCCCTGCAATGGATTGGAAAACAGTTAGTATTGCGAACGCCAGTGAAGAAACAAAACTGGAACCGGAATCGTTTGGCGCTACTTCATTGGGCTGGACAGGTTCCGCTGGAATTGGTTCTGGTAAACAATTAAATTATCCAAACTGAATAAATTCCATCGCGTAAATTCCATTGCATAATCATAAGTTATTTCAAAAAATCAACAACCGACAGGCTATTGTGCACCCCCCGATGAAGGAACAACGCAGAATCTTGGAATGAATGCAAAGGCAAGATCGGGTGAGAGCCAAACAGTTCAGGGCATTGAATCAAAGTTTCATTCGCCATCATTCGGTGTTGTTCCTGCAATGGATTTGAAAACAGTTGGTATTGGCTCGGGTAAATATATTATTAAATGAATAAATTAGCTAAACTGAATTAAACTCAATGCAATATCTCAATTTATTCCAGACGATATACAACTGGATGGTCATTGTACACCTACAAAAAAAAAATCAAAGTCTCATGTACGAAAGAATGTCAGTGCAAAGAAAGCCGCTGAAGACACCCATGCACATAATGAATTCATGGAACAGAATCGACGATTGGCTCAAGAATCATTTGCTCGATTGATGGAATTTCATGTGAAATCCTTGGATCAAAAGCAAAATATGCTGCAACAAAATGCTGCCATGGCACCAGACCAAAATAAGCCTTAATGTCATGACATTTCCGTGAATGAGTTCGAAGACGAAGCATTCTTCGGCCTTCGATTCAAAACAAAATTAGAGTTTAAGTTTGAATTTTTGAAACACTAAACCACACTATACAAAGCAAATGGACGTGC